GGTTCCTGGTGGATAGAGTGGGGGCTCTGGTATGTGGGGAGCTGATATCAAGGAGTTCAAGAAGGAAGAAAATGCTTTGAAAGTGATTGTAAAACTTTTAAAAAGTGATTGTAGTAGCTATTGAATAATACTACCTGATGTGATTGAACTATGGAGTGGTATGATGTCTGTAATAGCTCCCAATAAAATGGTCTGGGGAAAATAAAAAATCTCATCATCCTAGGAAACCCTAAGGGGTAGTCTTTCTCTGTCCTCTGAGCTGCAAGGAGTTGGGCATTGACTGTGTGGCGAACAGGAAGGCGTTTAAAAACCCAACAGGGTTGTTATAATCTGGAAAAATATTCTTGAACGTTAAAGTCACATATTTACTACTGGAGTGCTTTGGGAGTAAATATTTCTCTCTTGACAATGGGAATGCAAAATTCAAACTCGCATTTAATAGAGTTACAGTGATTGGTAGTGATGGACCAAAGCCTTATTAAGCTTCCTTTCATTTTGTCCCCAATAGTTTTATTGGCATTTAATTCACAATTACACAATTCCAATAGCTCAATCACATCAAGAAGAGTAGTCCAATCATCGCCACAATCGGTTTTAAAACGTTTTCTTCATTCTTGCACTCATTATTAATTTTTCCTTTCATTTGGATTTTTATAAGATGAATGTCAGCTACAACTGAGAGATCGTTCTGTGAAAGGCAATGTGCTATCTGCAGCTACAGATAAGTAGACCTCAAGGTCAGCAGTTTGAAACCACCAGGTGATCAGGGGGAGCAAGCCGAGGCTTTCTCCTCCCACGAAGAGTTGCAGTCTTGGAAATTCACCGAGGCAGTTCGAGCCTGTCAGTAGGGTCACTGTGAGTCGGAATTCACTTCACGGCAGTGAGCTGGGAGTTTCAGTAGACTCTGAGTGGTGTTATTATACTTATTTCACAGAGGCAACAGCTGAAACTCAGATTTGGACCCTGCGTCACCTGAACGTGACAGGCAGAGGAGGCCTGGCTTTCATCCTGGGCCGCCCACTAGGAAAGTCTGTGGCCTTAGCATGCCACGTGGTGCTGCCTTCTTGCCTGCATGCTAGGATTTGGTGAGCAGCCGCTCCCACACCTTCCATGAGTTCCGCAGAGGGGTCCAAAAGCAAGTCTCCCCAGGGTGGGCTGGTGGGTGGGTGAGTGATCTGTTGTTGGCCTGTCGTGTAGCTGAACTAGGTTTCCGGCATGTGCGTTGGGCTGCGGATGGCCAATGAAGCCCAAAACCTGTAGCCAGAGTCCATGCGGATTTATAGTGACCCTCTAAGGCAGAGAACAACTGCCCCCTACAGTTTCCAAGATCAGTGCATCTCTCCGGAAGCAGGCAGTGGGTGTTCTCCTGCAGAGAGGCTGGTGGGCCCAAACCACCAACCTTTCGGTTAGCGGCAGTGCACTTTCATCGCTGTGCCATTCTGGCAGTGTGGATGCCGCTGACACGTGTGGAATGGATGTGCTCTTCTCTCTCGAGCCCATTCTGGGGCTTCCTGGCGTCTCACTCACTAGCTCACTCTTCATCCGCACCTGTCATCTCCAGTCGGATGCTTTCACGTGTGC